AAAGTGCTACAGTCCAGAATTCTTGAACAACAGCTAGAAGACGGATTCTGTGGAAAAAGGAATCCCTCCTTAAACAATTGGGTATGTCCAAACACCCATTCCAATGAGGAATCTTCAAATCACAATCTTCATTCAAAATTGAAGCCAGCAAATGCAACGGATAGTCTATTTTGATTCAACGGATAGATTATCCAATCCAACTATAAATAGCATCCTTGGAAGACTGGAGAAGATAACAACAACATCAACGATAAGATATACAACCACAACAAAGCTACCTCATTCACAGTTAGCCCAAAAAGCTTGATAAAGAGAGATTTCTAAACTCCTTATCCAGAAGCAAACTTCTCCTCCTTCCAAAGAGCTATAGTGTAAATACTTGAAGGTTTCCTTGCCTCAAGTACCACACCACGTTGAAGGATACAACTTTTGATCAAACTTATTGATTGAAAGGGGGTAGGTCAACTTTTTTACAAGTTGGTCTTGCAAGTCCTATTGTTCGGACCTTGCAGTTGTTGAAGAAGCGTGACCTTCGAAGGAACAACAAAGCCAGCACGAGTGTAGTAGCAACATTGGCCTTGCGAAGATATACCGTGCAGAAATTCACACAAGTGTAATTGTTGGTTCATAATTCAACCACCAACTACATAGTGGATTTTGAGGACGTAGAAGGATTACCCCACCTTTGAACCTCGTTAAAGTTTGCGTGTCTCTCTCTTTTATCTTTATTCTTACTTGCAATTATATTAACTGTGAAAACTAACCCATCCATATTGATTACTGCTCACTCTACCCACCAAATTCCGCACACAATCTAAAGTTCACAAGAACTCTAGATTAACACTCATTTTCACGTTTTCAAAAGAAACGAATTTTTTTTTTAAATTTGTAACAAAGTCTATTCACCCCCCCCCCCCTCTAGACTTTGTATCTCACCACTTTGGGACCACCAATTGGTATCAGAGCATACTTCTCACTATCTACTTTTAGATTAACGAGAAGCGATCATAATGGTGAACAATATGGATCACGGTTTGCCCAAGTTTTCTCTTCTAGGTTATGATGATTGGAAGATCATGATGGAAGCACATCTCTACGCTCTACATGACTGCATGTGGATGGTGCTTGAGGATGGACCCTTGAAAATCCAAATGGAGAACCCTGAGAGGAATCCAGCTGCTCCAGATGTAGTCCAGTACATTCCAAAGCCCAAGGAAAAATGGGATGATAGAGATTGCAAAAAGCACAATCTGGACAACGTCGCCAAAGCAGCCATCTTCAAGACACTTGATCCCATCACCTTCTCCAAGATTAAGCATCTCAAGACTGCCATGGAGATTTGG